CGAAAGATGCGGGATTAAGCCCAAGTGGTTAGGAGGAGAAGAGAGAAAGTGCCTATGTCTGCATGGCCAGGTCGCGGCGTGGGGGTCGTAGCGGCACTCCACGCATCGATCCAGTCATACAGGCGTCCTGGCCAATTAGAACAGAGTATTAAGCATGCACGACAAAGAAGAAGAAGAAGGCAGGCAAACACGAGAAAATCAAGAAAGAAGAGAAATACAGTTACAATCGCGCCCACCAAAAGCGACAGTTACACAAGATTAAGGGCGTGATCCAGTCAGAGCCTAGTTCCTAGTGCAGCAAGATGTGCGCGAGTGAGAAGTGAGGCGCAACAAAATTCAGAGTACCTAAATTCCTAGTCTAAGTCCTAATTGCAAAAAGGAATTCCGAAAAGCCCGAAGCCAGTTCTGCGAGCCGGTGGGGGCTCGACGTCAGTTGCAAATTCAAAAAACAACATTCCCGCGCGATGATCGCACAAAAAATTCCTAGTGCTCATAGCAGAACACGAAAGAAGTCATCGCAACCGTTGTCCATCGCGCTTGTTAAGGCGTTGTTACCCAATCGTCGGCGCGGGACTTTCCGGACACCGACCCGACAGATTCTCACAAAAAACAAAAAGAAATGAGGGCACCCATGCAACTTGCCCGACCGACCCATCTCTCCACGGCTCACCCATCCGACCCGTCCTATTGCCCCAAGGCAGCTTCGCGCAGAAAGTCGCGCGATTAGAAGAAGATGGTTCGTCACAACGCATCCCTACCTATACACTGCAAGAACTAGTATTCGGCAAAGGCACATAAGATGCAAGCTAACGGTGGGCTGGTTGTTTCCCCATGGGAATCCCTACAACCTGCTTCAGTAACACCCCAGTCGCATACGTATAGGTATGCTCGAGCTCCAGACGTAAAAATGCAGCCATCTGACCGAACTCCAAAAGCTTCCAGTGGTCCGCCCCCGTAGTTAACCCGAAAGAGGCCCCTTTGCCTCTAGAATTAACCCTGACAGCAGTCCGCCCTTTTGCGACATGAAAGTCAAACATCCAGTCCACCGCTCTGATAATCTCCGTATGCGGTAATCGACTAAATGTTAAAGGAGAGGGTCGATACCGAGTATTCATAATCAAACCTCAACAAATTATGGTTCACATTAGATAGCCGACTTGCCAAACCAGAGCCGACATGAGATTAAAATGCCAGTTTTTAGGAAGCGATTCCGCAAGGAAACTTGAGCCATGAGACACCACTCTGTCGGTCCGCACCATAGGTTCTTTAAAAGTAGGACAGATAGGCCGATATCTGTCCAGATCTTTTTGTTTTAGTAGTACATATGCCGAACCGAAATCACCAGCCTTATCCCAGCAGACAAATTGTACCAGCCCTTTTTTTTCAACATCCTCTTTCATTTCCCTCAGGATCTCCCATTCAGAAACCTCCATGATACGGTATCCAGAACTCCGGGCAAAGGTAGTCATCATAGCATTATAATACAATACTGGGCACATGGCTACTGTCTCTCCCGGATTACGGTCCAAAGGGGACAGAACCAGGCCATCCAGTCTTTCACACAAAACTCGCACATCATACGACGTAAGGTGGGGATCCGTCGAGTAAGATCGGACACTCATGAAGACTGTAGTTTATCAGAGGGAATACAAGGGGGATCCCCTTTCCAATTACGCCAATTCCAAAAAAAGTCCTCGATTTCCTTTCTTAACAACTCCGGTCTATCCAATCTTACAAACTTAGGTACATTCTTGACGTTATGCAATAGCGGGTGAGTACCTTCCAGCTCACTGATACAAAAACGAGCGTGTCCCTGGGAGCGAGGAAAAGACATACCTGCACACTTACAGGTCAGCACACTGCGAGCGGCGAAAGCTCGCTGATTGTGCGCAACGTCCGAAACAGAAGGGTTCTTTACCCAAACAATACATACCTTCCTTCGCGTTCAATTCAGAAAACACTCCGGTAATTCGCCAGCCATGATAGCATCATTCACTACCTTTCGGACCTCAGACACCTTGATTCGGTCATCATATCTCATACGAAAGATCGGATCAGAACAGAGACTCAAGTCAAAACGTTCACGAAAAATTCTGGAGATCAACCGATGCACGTACTTTCTAGTAGACTTGCAAGCAAAATCCTTAATTGCCTTGTATAGTCGTAATAGTGAACGCAAATTCCAGCGAAAAACATCACTTATCTTACGTGGATTAAGTAGGATCTGAATGAGTAGGGATTTGAGGTAACGGCATTTCGGTTTCCATTTCCACCAGTGTACTACCTCAAACACCCCACCCTTCTGTTGGAGCAGTTTTGCGTCTTTTAGCAACACCGTACGCCCATTCTGCCTTAACTTTGTCTCCCCAAAAGCCTTACGGATCTTCTTCCGACAGGTATGCCAAACATTACCCCCGTCAATTATGATTTGCGCATTGGGTCGTCCCTCGGTACAACCCGAGTCTAACAATCAGTAGAAGTAGACACACCACGGCTCAGTCGCGGACCGACTACCCAGACGACCTCAAGGTCCTCGGCACACCCCTGTCTCCCGACGCACGTCTTCCTACGCTCCCTTCGTCCCGATCGTTTTTTTTTCCCCTTAATACCATGTGCTGAAAACGAGGAGTTAAGGAAAGGGGACCAACCTGAGAACGGACGCCGCAGGCCCGGCCGGGCGGGGCCGGGTGGGCCGCCCGGGCAAACCGGGCGGGCAGAAAAAACAGCCTAGAAATTTTTTTATTTTTTTTTGAAAGCGGGTTCCTTCTGTGCTCGGCGAGAGGACCCCAAATCTGCAATAAAAATTCTGGTTTGGGCAGGGGACGGGTTGTCTGGGTGTGGGGGGGGGGAGGAGGAGGAGAGAAGAGGAGGAGGAGGAGAGAAGATGAATGAGGAGGAGAGAAAAGGAGGAGGAGGAGAGAAGATGGATGGAAGAGGAGGAGGAGGAGAGAAGATGGATGGAAGAGGAGGAGGAGGAGGAGAGAAGAGGAGGAGGAGGAGAGAAGATGGGCGAAAGAGGAGGAGGAGAGAAGAGGAAGGAGAAGAAGATGAGGGGGAGGCGGCGAGGAGAGAAGAAGAAGAAGAAGAAGAAGAAGAAGAAGAAGAAGAAGAAGGGAACAGTTTTTTTTTCTCTTCTTTTCTTACCTGTCGTTTATCTCGCGCCCTATCGCTGACGAATCGAACAAAAAAAAAAAAAAAAAAAAGAAGATAGTCGGAAGAGGAGGAGGAGGAGAGAAGAAGAAGAAGAAGAAGAAGAAGAAGAAGAAGAAGAAGAAGGCGGCGGCAGCAGGGCGGTAGGGTATGGTGGCGGCAGGGCGGTAAGGTATGGCGGCGGCGGCGGCAGGGAGGGAGGTGTGGCGGTCCAAGAAGAAGAAGAAGAAGAAGAGGGGGAGGCGGAGGAGGAGAGAAAGAAAAGGAAGACAAAGAAGAAGAAGAAGAAGAAGAAGAAGAAGATGGCGGCGGCGGCAGGGCGGTAGGGTATGGTGGTGGGGTATGGTGGCGGGCTGCAGCAGCGGTCCTTCAAGAAGAAGAAGAAGAAGAAGAAGAAGATGGGCAGAAGAAGAGGAGGAGGAGAGAAGAGGAAGGAGAAGAAGATGAGAGGGAGGCGGGGGAGGAGAGAAGAAGAAGAAGAAGAGATGACGAGCGGAGCAGTTTTTTTTTTTTTTCTTACCTGTCGTTTATCTCACGACCTATCACTGACGAATGGAACAACGAAAAAAGAGAAAAAGAAGATAGTGGGAAGAGGATGAGGAGAAGAAGAAGAAGAAGAAGAAGATGGTGAGAAGGGGACGACCGACGGGCGACTCCACGATGCTGGCGACGGGCGACTCCACAATGCTGGCGACGGGCAACTCCACGACGACGGGGGAGTGTGGCTCCCAGGCGACGGCGACAACGGGCAGCAGGAGGAGCAAGGGCGGCTGAACCTCGAACGCATGCGGCTGAGGAAAACCAAGGCCCCGTTTGGACAGCCCCCAGCCAGTTGGTTGTTCAAAGGGGGCCTCGTTTTTCCCTCCAAAAATCAAACGGCCCTCCGGCGTCTCAAATTCAAAAAAAAAGACTGGCCTCACGGGCGCCGTTTTTTGGGCCTGGTCGGACCCGGTAGGCCCTGAGGATGCCACAACTCGGGGTCGGAACCCCCCCCCCAACAAAGTGTGCTGGGGGTGCCCAGCCCCCAACCGGGCCGCCCGGGACCTCCCCCGGGGATGCGCTGGCGGCCGGGCAGCCCGGATCCGTACTCAGACAAAAACTGCTCGTTTCCCTCTGCGCACTGCGCGCAAGCGTTTACATCTCTCCGCCGGTCAAACCGAGCGTACTCACCCGTACTTTTGACCCTCCACTTTTTCCACATATGGCTTTCCGCTGTATGCTGATAAAAAAACTGAACCAGTGCCGACACATTTTCTTTTCACCGTCGGCCATTTCGATCCGATAGGTCAGACCAACGTTCCCATACACCACCAGGCTGTGTGTCGCAGTAGGGATACGGTATAGAACTCTAAATTGTCAGATTTTTTTTTTTTTTTTTAATAACCAATTCTGAGGATCAATGAATTCTGCAAGTACCCCAATAACTGACAACTACACACTAGATAAAGAACAATATGGCCTAAGCACCATGGGGAACTGCACCTGCTGGAAACCGGGTCCAGCACCCCAGATACCAAGTTCTCAATTTATCATGATCTACAGCAGCGTCAACCAGCAAGGCCTGGTTACATTGTCAGAAGATTTCTTCAACGTCATAAACATAAAACGGTGGAGAGCAACACGAGAGAAAATAAAAAGCAAAGTAACGACACAAAAGCAAAACACCAGAGAGCTACATGGAGAAAAAAAAAAAAAGGCAAAGATGACACACTTGAGACACATCCCTTCAAATGTTCAAAGCATGAATTTTTCATTTTTTTATTTTTTAAAAAGAAATCTGGTACTGGTCAAAACACCAGAGTAGTCCTTATGGTCCTGGTCAAAGCACGAATTTCAATATCGATCGTAATTTCGTAAATGGATTTTTACTAGTTCGGAAAAAAACCAATTTGGCCTTCACCCCACAACTCTGGAGGTGAAGGCAAAATTTTCAAATTGTTATTGATGACCACAGAATAAGTGGTTCTGAAAACGTTTTCTCTCACGCTGGCAATACTTCTCCAGACTCAGCTAAACATCCGCCAGGCAAGGGGGGGAAATCCCCTATTCTCCCCCAGCCACCGATACACTTCTTTGCAAATGGCCACACCGGTCGCTCACAGGATTTGAAGCAATAAGAAGACACGTATCCAGGGGTTCTGCTCCCCCCCACCCCCGATCTTTTCTAAACGGTTGCAGGCTCCACTCAGCAGATCCACTGAGGAAAAAGCTGGGGGTCAAGAAGAAATAAAGGGGGGTTATGTTACAGCACCAAAGGGGTATGGTATTATTTTACAGCACCAGAGGGTTCGCCTTGCATAGACTGTGAACAGATTCAGAAATCAGGGGTAGAAGCGAGAGCCCCACTTGTATTGCTTTCCTTGGCTTTAATTGCGGTTTCTCTTTCAGTTCTTTGTAGCTCCCCCTGTTCCTCTCACGTGCACCACTCCGATGTCATTGAGCGCAGGCTTCCCGCATCCGTGTGTGCCATACCGGCCAAATTGCACATTATAAAAACAGTGCACAGGGGTAGAAGTCTGTATTTTGTCTCGCTTCTCTGTGATGCACTTTCGTATGCCTCTAGAGAAGTTCAAAGGGCTACCCGCATCCCTGCACAGGCAGGGGGAAGGAGGCGGAAACGGGAGGGGAGGGAGATGGGGAGAAGAACCATAACAGAGGGACGACAAACTTCACAGGGCTCTGAGTACTCACAGGCAGAGCAGACTACCATGGGATGGCACAAGAAGCCAGTCCGTGTTCGGGTCGCAAATACGTGTTTGGGTCGCAAATACACCTGAGTTCAGCAGCTAATGCCCTGTGGCTACTACAGGTTACGTGGACATCCCCACACAGACCAGACAAGGTCCAGTTGTCGCCTGCGGAAGCACCGCATCCTATTTTCGCAGGAGCTGCACCAAATGGTTAGGCATATAAAGATGTGCCACAGGCTACAGGCTACGTTGCTTCCCCATGCTATCTATGCTGGCGACACAGAGGCTCACTGCATCACCATTTCCGCCACTCTCTACGAATCACACAATACCAAATCAGCCCCTCTCGACGAATAGCACACATACCAAATCAGGGTCTCGCACCCGAGTACAATGTTGCCGGTAATCATACGGCACCACAACACTCCTCCGTGCGTCAAAGGTGAAGTTACTCAAGTATGAAATTATGTGTCACAAAACATCACCGGATCTGTCTGAAAGCGTCACCGAGTCCCATCCAAACTCGGAAAACTGAAATTTTGTGACCTCCCAACAACCCGGAAAACGAGAGCGAGGGACAATCACAAATCGAGCAGAAAGTGCATGCACATACATGTGCTCAATGCCCATTTCTTACACATTTACATTACAAAAGATGCGGAAATGTACATAAATCTGCGTGCATCCTCCCCTGGCTGACTAGAACCAGAGTGAAGGCCAAGGTTAACAGATTGACTCGCGCACCTGTAGCAGGGTAGGTTTGACTTCTCCGACCGTTACGACAGACCAACAACGGTCCACAGCTTGCCTTCGTCTGTGGACCCTTCCTTCAAAACCAGAAAGCTCAACTGCTTCGCCGGATTAGGCCCATGTTATGAAAACTCTCCCAGTGTGTCTATCGATAAGAGTTCCACAAGATAAATTCTGTGGACCCTTCGTTCAAAACCAGAAAGCTCGACCGCTGGAAAAGCATTTAGTAGATACCCTCCCTCTCTTGCCAGAATAAAGCTGTCGTGACAACAGCGTAAGTGTTCCTGTGCCAACAACAATTCTCCTCATCACCACTCCACTCACAGATTGACAACAGCCTCAACAGTCACTACATCAAAACGCGCAGAAAGAACCCAAACAAACAAACTCGGTTTTATTCAAAAAAAGAGAAATCGTCTCTGCGTACGGGGCGTCTCAGTAAGAGCGAGAAAAAAAGCAGGGTCTGCAGTTCAAATGTCAACAGAACTTTAAAACCTTGGAAAAAGGGAGAAAAGAAAGGGGATAAAATTGCTCTGTATACTGATTCTGCGCACAAGGACGCAGTGCTGCATCACACAAAACCCCATAAGGCACGTGTGACGGAGCATCAGCTTCCCTCTTGCCAGTCATAGTGTTACCTCGCACAACAGTACCACCAGCTAAAGCCATGGTTTCACCAAAAATCCGCACCAGTCTGTACTGCCTGCCCCAAGACGTTCCCGTATCCTGCGCACCCTACTTAAAAGAGGGGTCCTGATCTAGCCGTTTGTATCGCTGTGAGCTTCTCTGTCGATCTTCGCCAGTGCTCCTGAATTTTTTTTTTCAACAAAAAGCTGAACCTCCATCTCTACGTACCAGGCACTAGTCACACCGGCTTGCTTTGCACTCCGCAAGTTCGAATCGATTGACAAGCTATGGGTGAGAAATCCAAGCGCCCACTTTCATTTACTCCACAAGGTGTGTACCAAACAATCAACCCCTAATTTATGGCCAGTGATAATCTGCAGACTACATGCCCATCACATTCGATCAGCCGTGCACCAAGGGACAGTTTGAGGACTGCACCGCCGAATGCTGCAGTAGCAAGCACTTCCCCAAACACATGACGGCAGGGAATGCGTGACGAGTCACGGTACACTGTTCATCCAAAGTTATTTACAATCCCATTCACAATGGATCGCAATGCAGGAACAGATCCCACCACTCGGCGGGGTGTCGGGAGAAAAGAAAGATGCGTTGAAACTTGAAACAACTGGAGGAACCCTCGTTGGGTTGATCATGTTCATCGGTGCCTGATCCAGATTCTCCTCAAAAGGAGAAAGAATAACCTTGAAAATCACATACAGTTGTGTTGCTCCATCAGAAAGAACGGAAGCTGAGCAAGCGCTACCAGTTTCCAACTAAAAAGGGGAGCGAGGAGAGGAGAAAGCTGCACAACAAGCAGGCGAGCCCACCAGCCGAATGCTACTCTGCTAGCTTCATGAAACATCAAATGCTACCAATAATGTCTGCCGCCTGCAAACTGTGAATCTCTATATTGGGGATGTTGTGTTCTACCGGCATTGTTGCCCTATAGACAAAATCTAAGAAGAGATGGTTTCTCTATAAATACTCCTCCGCAGAGCCCAGGTGTCCTCATCCCTCTGCCTCACATCATGCAAGGAAGATTTCTCCACACGACCATAGGCATCGCCTCCACGCAGAGCCCAGTCATCATCATACTGGCTGTTGTTATACCGCCGGCCACCGGAGGTGCTAGGCTGCTGCTTTTTTCGCCTCTTGGACTCACTATCGAGCTCGTCGGAGCTTCCGCCACCCTTTACGTCGCGGTCATACAAGTCCCGTGAGCTCTGATGCTGATGGTGATGCTTCTTTCGCTTGTCTGTCACGTCATACCTGCTCGACTGCTTCTTTCTCCTTTTCGCCTCGTTCTCAAGCTCCTCCGAGCTAATGCCCGTTTTGACGTCACGATCGTATACGTCCCTGGAACTCTGATGATGATGTTTCTTTCGCTTGTCCGCATCATATCTCTCATCATCATCATCCCTTTCACGATCCCGATCACGATCTCGGCTTTCGTAAGCATCCGAGCGCAGACGGTTTCCATCCCATCCCATCTCCCTTGTTCCACCAACTCCAGTGCTCAGATCACTATGTCGGCGACCAACATCAGTGTCAGCATCGCTTGCATAATGCCGTCGCTGCCTTAATTGTTGCCTTGCATTCTCTCCGTCTGTGATCACAGTGTCACGGGCCCCTCTCGAAGTATACAGATCCTCCTCATTCCGCATTCTGCTGCTTTCGTTCCTCGAATCCAGATGAGCACCACTGTGCCTAACATGAGATGTCTTCAGGTCATCTTTGCTGCTGTACGGATCGTCATGCATCCTCAAGGGGAACTTCCTATCCCTATCAACACTTCGGACATCATAGTCCATCCTACTGTCAACACCCTGGTCGACACCACGGTCAACACCACGGTCAACACCACGGTCAACACTTCGGTCAACACCACGGTCCACACCTCGGTCCACACCTCGGTCCACACCGCGGTCCACACCGCGGTCCACACCTCGGTCTACACCGCGGTCCACACCTCGGTCTACACCGCGGTCCACACCTCGGTCTACACCGCGGTCCACACCACGGTCGACACCGCGGTCCACACCACGGTCGACACCGCGGTCCACACCACGGTCGACACCTCGGTCCGCACCACCAACAGCTCGATCCACAGCTCCGACCACTCGGTCCACACCTCCCACAACTCGGTCAACACCTCCCACGGCTCGGTCACCACCTCCCACGCCTCGGTCAACACCTCCCACGCCTCGGTCGACACCTCCGACACCCCGCGATCTGTCTTTAAATTCTTCACCTTGACTTCGCCAAGGACGCGCTTCACTCTCCTTAGCAGCAGAGTAGTAGTCTTGAACCTTGGAGACCGCATCCCGTCTAGCCCTCTGGTACTTGGCTTCGTCTGTGGAAGCAAACAGTTCCCGCACTGAATCTTCTTCCGCATACCGACCTGTCACCCGTCCTCTAAACGCATCAGACAATGTAGGTCCATATGGATCAACAAGGCTGTCGATGTGGCGGACTCTCGCAGCACGACTCGCAATGACACCATTTGCACTTCCGGAAGCTGTTTCATCGGGGCACCGTTGCTGAGTCCGAGGTTCCCGTGTCTCCTCTCTATCGTATGCAGCAATTACAGCATAGTCACGCACCTGGCTCACACCCAACCTGCTAGGAGGAGGATACTCGTTGACTGCCCTCTCTGGCGATCTTCTCACCCTTTCATATCGCATGTCGAGAGGGTCCTCCACTCGCCTGAAGTCGGGCGAGGTATTCTCTCTCCTCCTGTAAAAGCTCGGAGACTCAGGCCTCGCATGAAGAGGAGACTCCTCTCGCCGTCGATATTCTCCATAGTCTTGATCTCGCCTCCGCAAGTCGGGTGATGGAGCCCTTCGCTTAGCCTTCTGTTAACATTCAGAACATATACATTTGATGGACGACCAATTTCAGCACTCCGACATTGATTTCAGGCAAAATAAATCGAAAACCAATCTTAAGCAAAAAAACAGCTACAACTTTCGAGCGCTATATTTTTAGTTCAGAGATATATATATAGTTCAGAGACACATTTCAGTAAGACTTTTTTTATAAAATCCACTACAGAACTGGCAAAATCCACCAAACAGAACAATATATTTGCACATGCCCATTTGTTTGTATATTGAATATCTCAATTCTTGTTGGTATTCAGAAAAGGTATTTTGAAAACTAAGACCCTCTCTTAGGACAACAAGATAAGGGACCTTGCCACACGATGCGGTACTATGCACTGAGTATGCAAAATGATGAGCGTAGCCTCACATAGACGGTGGCAAGAACAATCCACCGCGACACATCTTCCAACCTAAAAGACAACATGCACTCGCCATTTTCACGACTCTATGATGCAGCTGTGAGGGGCCCAAGGTCTCGAACAACTCAGGCAGGAGAGATCTCCAACTGAGGTTCGACATTTGAGCCCACCACCTCCTATCATAAGCCCGTTGCCGTTCAACTCGTCATTCACAAACTGGAAGTGCACTCACCATGAACATATCAAATGGATCGTCGTTTGGAATGAAATTGGGCTCCTCCCGTGCAAAGGATCTTTCCAGAGGGCGCTCAGCCATTGATTCCCTGTGTTGATTACATCAAAGACCACGCAAAAAGAGTCAGTACTCGAGAAATCCTGTCATGGGAAACATGCTTCAATTGCTATAACCCATATGTTGAGTATCATGCCGTCGTTCTCCTCATTCTCTTCATCTCTGTGCCAGCATGCACGGAAAATGGTTCCAATGACGTGGAGGGGATGGGGAAGTTTCCACCCGCCGAGAGGGAAAAACCTTCTATAATACAAAGAATAACGATAAATGATTGTACTGAATGTAGAAAGAAGAATCAATAAAATCATAAATAATTAAATTCATATACATATACATTTTAGAGAATGAAGGAATATACATATGAACAGAAAATAAATCTAAATTGTTGTCTATTTTAGATTTATTTTCTGTTTATCTGTACATAAATATTCTTCCTCGACTCAACAGAGATGTCAAAGTGAGTGCACTTTTCATTGGAGAGATCCACCATAGATATACGCCATTGGACAAAACCACAATGGAAAGACTCCAAAGCACTATTCTCTGACAAGGCAGAAAGGGCACACACCTTCCCCTTGCTTGCATGGCTCTTCTCCTACGCTCCTCTTCTTGCAGCTGCAGAAACTCCTCGCGGCTCAACGGTGCATCTACAGGTCTCATCATTCCCACAGGACCAGCGCTTGCGCCGTAATCACCGCTGCCACTGACGAACGAACACAGCCCAACAAAACATTACAACGAGGGAGAAAACGACAAACAAACATGGTTCAGTAGACAGACTTGGAAGACACCTCATCCTCCACGTTGAACTGGCCTCACCAAATAAAAGATGAAGACACAGAGATGTGAGAGTTGCAAATGAACTGACCTATGCAGCACGGTCACTATGCCAGATTCAGCACGACAGCTATCCAGGACGAACTTCAAGCCAAGACAGTAAACAAGAGATGAGAGCATACGTGGACAAACGAATGGTACCATATCCGCCCCGACGGGTAGCATGGGAGGGGTGGGGGGTTCGACGCAGCGAATCCAAGTGAGCCAAAGAACAGGCCACAAACAATTTTATTACCTTCACGTCCACCCCAATGATTAGCATGGGAGAGTGGAGAGGTCCGCCAAGCCAATCCAAGTGAGCCGAAAACCAGGCACAAACTATTTTAATTCCTTCCCAACGACGCCATTGGATTGCGCTTATCATCATCATACAGAATCATGAATCCTGCTGCTTTCTTGGGAAACTGGAGCGGGGCTGGGGAGAGAGGTGGCGGAAGAAGAGGAAGAGAGGAGAAGAAGAAGAAGAAGAAGAAGAAGAAGAGAAAGGAGAGGAGAGGAAGAAGGGAGGAAGAAGAAAAAGAGGAAAAGAAGAAGAGGAGGAAAAAGAGGAAGAAGAGAAAGAAGAAGAGGACGGAGGACGAGGAGTAAGAAGAAGAGGAAGAGGAGGAGGAGGAAGCGGACGAGGAGGAGGAAGAAGAAGACGTGAGGGGGGAGAGCAAGGATGCTCCTTTTTTTTTGGCTCCAGCGCCTGGAAGGAATGGGCACCCTTAACCTAACTAGGAAAACCAATCTACAACTGAAAACCAATCTACAACTGAACACAACGAGTGACACTCGTTGAAGAACAGGGCTTCAGATGCAAGTCAGAATATTGGCCAAGGCAGGTGATGGATACCTGTGTGGCAAGGGGACACCACCATGAAAAGGAGCAGTTATCGGAGCAAATGGAGCCTGTTGAACAAATGGCCCATTCTGCATAACACGATCGAAAGGCGCCCCTGAGGGTACTGTTGGTCCAAAAACTGTGCCATATCCGACATTTGGGTGTGGACCTTGTTGCTGCAGCACAGCGGCGGCAGTAGCTGGACCAGGGAAAAAGCCGCCGCCGTCACCAATTCCTCCAAAAGGAGGAAGTAAGCCTGGATAAAGAGGACCACCTGTCGTAACATTGATCACAATCCCAAAAACAAAACCCATGACGCTTGCAGTCAGACGTGTGTTTTTCAAAGATCCCCAAATTCTCTCTCTCATTCCAACCACAAATCATCATAAACCATCCAAAAAACAAAAGAAGGTATAGATAGATAACATACTAGAAGGTACAAGTTGCCCAGATTTGTGTGGTTGAGCGGCTAGTGGGCCCACACACCCATCTGCCGCCAGAGCGGCACACTCGCACAAATATATCGTCAAACAGAGATGGCTGGTAAACTGTAGGCAGAGAGAGAGAAGAGGGCAACAAACGAGGGGCTGTGACAAACCGTTTTGTCGGAGTTTCACCGACTCATCAGGAGGCTATACTCTATAAAGGGTCAAGGGCGTAACACAAAGCACTGGCACTAATGTTATTCATCATCTCAAACCACACGCACATGTCACCTTCATCTCCATCGCTCTGGATGTGTGTTTGTGTACGATAGACGCATGACCATGACGATGTTCAGCCTTTAATACCACCCTTTCACAGACCACATAAAACCCGGAATCGATGTAGGCAACAAAACATCATGAGCCGAATTTGTGCGCAACGGAGTAACAGGACAGAACACCTCTATAACAAATCGCATTCACCTCAAGTCACTATAGAGCATGAGCTGAATTAATGGGCGCCAAAAGAAAAACTACCACGCTCAATTGCCCAACACACACGCATACCAAAGTTAAAGAGGAGAGCATCAGCAAAACTCTGTGGAAAAGCGTAACAGGACAGGAAAACCGGTTTTGACAAATTGGATTCAACTCAAGACACTGTTGGGTATCAGCTGAAGTCATGCACACACAACATTAAATTTACTATGTTCAAGTGCCGACACACAACAATACCACAGGCGAACAGAGGACAAAACCAGCGCCAACAATTAATAAAACACGTCAAGAATACGCCCACTGTCACCCACCTGGACCAAGCATTGATGGCTGCAATTGCTGCTGCGACGGCTGAAAGGAAGCCGAGTGCATTGATGTGTGTCCAACATGAAGGGGTATATGCCCTCCAACTGGTCCATGGCCTCCAAGACCCACATTTTCCGGGCAGTCTCTCATAAAATGGTCTGGAGCATGACATGTGTAGCATAGTCTTTCCCCCTGTTGTGGCACCAAAGTGTACACACACACACACACACACACACACACACACACACACACACACACACACACACACACAAACAAGCACCCGCGCGCGAAAAGAATTCACAGTACATGTTCAGAAACCACCCCTGAGCATTCTTCCGAGCTTTCTAATAGGCAATACTTCCATTCAAGTCGATCGAATGCATTTCAGTTTATGATCATAGCAGTAGCAGATATGTCTGGTCCTCATCCTGCCATCCACGCCTCAACTCATCTCCCAAACATGGAGGAAAACAAAAGATACATCCGCATCACACCGTCAAGGGAACCAGGTACGTGTCTCGTATTTGGTTGACCCTGGTCCCAGAGGAAAGTTCGTGTAGTGTGGAGACTGGTACTTCAAAACACAGACTCTTAGCGAGTCCAGTAGCTAGACAATCCATACGTTAGAAGAGGCCAGCCCTGTGCAGCCCCATCCCATTCAGTCCAATCTCACGTAAATCTGGAGCCCGCTGTTCCAGGAGGGCCAAAGAACATTCCAGAATTACCAAAATGCCGAAGCGTTCGAATCAGCAGGCTGCAAGGTCTACCAGATCTGAAACTCCTACAGCTAGAAAGCTGAATCGTCACACACATAGGCAGAGCGACAGTTGACATCATCATCCTTTCCATTCAGTGAACTACCAACCATAATGATAATCGATTATCCACTAAAACATTACTACGGAAAAATGTGGGTGTTGAGTCCTCTTTAATAAACCCCTGCTCTAGAGGCGTACTCGGCAATTTCCTGATGAGTGCATGTACCACCAATCTAGGACTGAGAGTGGATAGAGGCCCAGTACATCGTTTACATCGATAGAGTTCCAGTAAATCGTTTTACTTGCATGGACTCCAGTAATGGCCATCAGTGACAAGTTTCCAGTCATACGGGAACTGAGTTTCACCCTCCTACATCAGCTCTCTCTCTCTCTATCTATCTATCTGTGTGTGTTTTAGATTTTCGCCACAACAGCCCCAATTCCACCGAGGTGATTCAGAATCAAAGCAGTCTTTGTCCTATTGCAGACAACGAGAGCATTTGAGATGTCCAACATATTAAAGCAATTCTATAATTAGACAGTTTTTTGGTTGTCCTTGGGGTACCCCTTTCATTGTTCTTGCAGCTCAGCTCCCCTTTTACTGTGCCTCTTACGCACAAGGCTGCCCACATTGATTGTGGTTGAGCAGCAGCTGCCCACATCCCTGTGTGCTTTCACGGCTCACTTGCACGTTATTTCAGGAGGCAGAGTAAAAAGGGAAGGTATGCTACTGTGCATCTCTTCAGAGCTTCATACTCCTGTTCATTTCACTTTGGATCTTCAGCTTACACAGTCTTTGCGTCCGTACTTCATCTTCATACTTCCGTTCATTTCATTTCTGATCTTCATATCGTCTATACTCTTAATGATGCTCATTCGCATGTTTTTGTTAGTAGTACAAAGGGAGTGGAGGGGAGGGTGGAGGGGAGTGTGGAGGGTAAGGGGTAGAAGGCGGAGTTCCCTAGGAGTATGGGGCAGGGGAGGTAGGGACAACGGGAAGGAAAGAAATACGTGGAGGGTAGGATAGAGTATGACATGCAAAGAGCAGGGGAAAGGTGTACGACGGGTTTCACAGATTTCTAAATATTCACCGCTGAAGCAGACTTCCAAAAAAAAAACTATGGCAAGTGGCCAACCCTACAAACGGGACAGGACCGGTTCCGGTGTGGGCTATGGAAGCACCGCATCCAATTTTCGCAGTCACAGTTGCCACATCGAATGTGTGTGTGTGTGCGTGTGTGTGTGTGCGCTTGCAATGTAACGAGTGAGGTCAACTTTCTTTCACCGTTCGTCCCCTGGCAATGTAACGAGTGAGAGGGAGAGGTTAGTTACATGCCAAGTGAGAATAGAAGAAGGTTTAGACTTAAGGTTATTCGAGGGGTAGAGGAAAGAGAGACAAAGGACGAAAATAGAGGAACGAAAGTGTGTTTGTGTGTGTGTGTGTGATTGACCACACATATAGAGTGAAGGGCTCAATATACAAAAACGGGAAAACACAACACAAAAGAACCTGTAAGAACTAATGCCGAAGAACAGAGAGCAAAAGCAATTAAAACCAAAAGGAAGCCCTACACCGTCATGTACATCTCTCTCTCTCACTCGTTGGCCCATTCGTGGCCCTGTGCCTCTCCACCCAACACTCCGTCTGTCCCTACCCCTCCCTTCATTTGTCCCTTGTCATCACATTTCTCCCTCTCTCTCTCTCTCTCACACACACACACACAGAGCAACACAGCTTCAGCTAGTAGAATAGACTGCAAAGGAAAATAAATGCACAGTAGAAAAAGCAAGAAACGGGAACCCCGTAAAAAATATGGGGGACCAGTAGCACAAGTTCATGAAGGCTACCGGTCGCATAGTGTGGAGAACCAGTACAGTGGCAAAAATGGAATTTGCGCCAAAGCGGCGTTATGATCATTTTACCACCTAACCAAACTTTTTTTTTTTTTTTTCCTGGCAAGATCAGGACAAAAACTACCGGATCAAAAATTTTAAGATTTTTCCTACATTACACCCTGTACGCGTACGCAGGGAGTACGATTACGTACTCTAAGAGTACTCGTCCGTGCTCAAAAACCCGCATACACGTACCTAAAAAAAAAAAAAAAAAAAAGAAATCAGACGTCGGAATATCTAACCAAATTGGATTTAAAAATCATAAACTGTAAAAAGGTAATAAATTCTTATAAGTTGAATATAAAAGCACGTACTCCCATATATGTACGGAGTACGTATGTACTCTGAGGAGAGTACGTACTCCAACCCCACGTACATGTACACGGTGCAACACAGGATATTTCTGTACATTATTCTGGGCGTGAAAAATCACTGAAGTTGAAGTACTCATCTGTTGGCCCAAAGGTGGCAGAGTCACAAAAATGGAAAATGCACCAGTCGGCGCAGTGAGTGATTTTTACTTTTATTTTTCTAATGTTTTTCCCGGAAACGATCACAACCAAATCTACCGCATGCAAAGATGGCCGGCCTAATTTTTGTCTTTTTGTGCATTCGGTGAGTGGTGGAGCAAGGACCCTTACCATCCCCGTCGAACTCAGGCAAGTTTTTGCAGTTCATGGGTGTACCGACTGAGGGCATACTCACACTGGCACGTATATTCGCAAAATCGCAAATAATGCACAACTTCCAGGGTCACAAAAGGGTCCTTATTTTACAATCTCACGCATTTGGGCACATAAACGTCAGCGACCTGTGGAACCGCAGGGTTAAACATTTTGCAGGGACCTGTAGAGGTCTCTGCTCAATAAAATTGGATTTTGTTTTCTGATTCGGGAAAAGAATTCAACCCTGAAGGGAAAACAAAAAAAAAAAAAACAGCGACAGATTTCCGTCCATACGGACATGTTTCTGCACTTGGAGAACAGGTCGCAATAGTGTCTTCTGTTTTGTGAAACAAACGGGTGAGCTGTGTGAATCGGACGCGGCCTATAATTGCAAAATCAAGCCCGTAAAATTTGCAAACACCCCGGAAGAAAATGCAAAAGCGGCCCACGCCGTATCAGGGCCCAACCGATCCTCGCTGCACAGAGGAAGGAAAACACAGCTTGCACCACACTATACACAACAAACAAAACCTGCTGCCCCTGCTGCGACTGACACCAGCAAAAACGAACAAACACCGGGATGGCACCGCCACTGCCACCACGGATTGAGACGACCCCGTTTGGTAGCGAAACTCAAACCTCTATCGTCCAGATCGCCATGAAGTTAGGAGAGGCAAAAACAACTATGCGTCAGCATTCTAAGCATGCCACAGGCTCAAGGGCGATTGCGGTCACCAACTACAAAATCCGAAGGCCGAGACACAAAGAAAAGCAAGAACCTGGTGTGAAGCGTACCCCATGGCCCATAAGTTGTAGAGTACTGCGTCTATTTACAGTAATCGCAGGATCTACAAACTAATTTCAGTGGTAGAGACAGAACATTCACAGGAAAGCAGTGGCAGGATTGATAAATTTGTATGGGGACAAGTTCACGATGTCATCAGGCGAGCGCCCTGAGACAAAACGGGTCTGGTCAAAGACCCCTGCAGCAGACCTTGACAATGTAAATTAGACCAGATCAACTGGGACGTCCTACCCAACATAGCTAGCATGAATTACGCCGGCAAGACATCGAAGGAGACGCATAAGGGCAGGGAAACCACATAGACCAATTGATTTCCCGAACCCTAACCGGATTTAAGTACTCCCACCAGGAACACACAATCACATATGAGAAAGAGCACTGGAAGGTGACAGAAAATATCAGACATGCCCAGAGTTGTACCATATCAGACATATGGTACAACAAGCCAACAACAATAGGAAACCATCGCAGTTCACTGTTTCTTATTGGGAAGTCCTACACGAGTTGGGCCTGAGGATGATCCGTCTTATTATGTCATCAATGTAGCACCTCACCTCGAGACATATGGCATATTTCATGCTTCTATGCTGCTGCTGCATGTCACTGAGGTTGCCTCACGTAGATCAATAATACCACCTGACATGGAGGGCACATATGCCATAGACAGAACTCACAAGCTTTCTTTAGTTCATGTGGAAGGCCAGCATCGCGATTTCAGTTCCAGGAACTGAAATCGAGAAGGTCCCAAAAGATGACAGACCCCAGAGATAGTAACTGAATACGAGATTAGAAATCTTTGGTCGTGGACCCTGAAATTGGCTGTGGGGAGTGCAAGGGGCTTGCAATCTCACTACGTCTGCGTCACAACGTCGAACAGGCTAGGCAGGGATCCGGTATTTGGTCAAACCAGGGGTAAAATGGGGCGAGTCTAGTCCACGAGCTAGGCACACAGTAGGTTGGGTGCTTCCAGTTCACCGACAATCTCCGGTAAACCAGCAGCCTCCGCCTGCAAGGCACAAAGTAGGTTGGGTGCTTCCAGTTCACCGACAGTCTCCGGTAAACCAGGAACCTCCCAGGCGGGTCAAGGATCATTCTGGAAGGCTACCCAGTTTACCAGGTCTGCAAGTCCGAAGAACCTGGCGGCTGAATCATCACACCCAAAAGCGGAGCAACAGTTTCCATGATCATTCATTCCACCTGTGCTAACAGGAAGCGATGTTGCGTTTGCGTGCGGACAAGTGACAACCGGTGCTGGCCGCCAAAGCTGATAGTGTATCATAGGCAAGGAAGAAGGGAAGAAATTCAGAGAGCAAGAGTCGGGCCTGAGCGTCAAGAGAGAGAGTTCATCCTTGGTTGCTGCTTGCTAGTGGCCATAAGCCGCCGACACACATGAACTTGTTAGCATAAGACTGATTTCCATACAATTTGTGTTCTCAAGTCCCATGCTGTGGTTTCCATCTCCCGGGTGATGAAGACTGTGTAACTCAGTGCGGCATGAGATGTTGGTTCAAGGTTGGGAGCTCATTGCACCATCCTTGCACGGGGGCCATTCTAATCATCCATGCCTGTATCCTTCCAATTTGAGCACAAGTCCTGATTTCTCCATCTGTGTGCATCATCCTAGAGCAAGGGTCAAACGAACCTTCTCTCTATCCTTTCAATATTCACACGTCCCGACAGGGCAGCATCCACTTTGCAGACACAGCATCCCCTCAGGGCCACATCGTAGCATCTGCAAAGGACAGAGCCATCGAGAGAGACAGAGGGCGGCAGACTCACCTCAGTGCCCGACTTCCCCCCAACACACTGCACCCTCATCAGACTGGAAAGATAGCTTGCCCACATGATCAGGGTAAGTCATGCTCGGAAGGGGGGGGGAGTGGGGAGGAGGGGGGGAGGAGGGCCGCTGAACAGTCATGTGCGCCAGGAGAAGAGATTAAGAGGTTCACCAACGGACCTGTTTGTGCTCATCTTCCCCCCAACACAACCCCCTTTCATACGAGTGTACCAAAGCGGGTAGATAGCTTGTAGGAATTCATGATGAGGATGCATTACGGAGTTGGCTTTGCAGACATGTTGCCACAGAGAGAGAGAGAGAGGGGAGACACCTGTCTGTACCCATTCGTTGCAGATGGACTTCCAATGGACCCTGCACAAGCATGACCGGTGCACATCTCCACTCGACAGTCGCATCACTGATGTGGGAAGGTGATGCAATGTGACATTGGGATTGCAGCACTAGAACCCCATGCAAGTGCAGAAACTAACCCCTCAGTATGCAGGTGACCATCCAAGGGACAAAACTCCACACCCGGCTCCCTTTTTTGAGATTGTCACTTGTTCGTCCTACACTGCAGACGTTGAAATGTCATTTTCACCCACCATGCATATCTTCCAAAGGTAATGAAAAGAGTCACGTAGAACACGATCAGTAGAACGGATTCACCCTTGCTGACTCGCAACATGATGCCCATCACCGCAACAAGACATGGACACATGAAAGACATTGAGCTCCAAACTGTTGGCAATTTCAAAACTCACCCTCGCTGACAGCATTGGCGCCCTCCCCTTCTGCATAGGAATGTTGTTGCTTGGTGGACCAGGCATTGCATCACCAGGTGCAGGTGTCCCATCTGCACAGTTTTCAACCCACAGGGTATGAGACGGGACGCACAATTCGAGAACAAAAATGAACCAACACTGCATCTGCCCACAAACCACACAAAGAGCCTCGTAAATCATTCTTCTACTCTTCCTATATACGGCACTGAAATTCGAGTGTATCGAGTCTACACAGCACGCACAACCAAGAGGACAGCCCCATCACGCCTAAAGTGTATAGCATAGAAAACAACACCCCTCAACCTGTACTTGCTATAACCGTAAGATATCATTAACTGTGATGCACGCAGCTGCCAGGTGAGGTGCAGTGATGAGACGACCGTTAACAAAGCACACACAGACAACAAAGGGGGAAGAAAAGGAAGAGCAAGAGCCGGACAATGACACGACCAATCATCAAATCACATGTAAATAAGGCACAACAAAGTAGGTGGAACAGAAAAAAAACTTTGAAAGTGAAACATGGGCAGAGCTATGCTCTAAAAAAGTCGGGGGTAGGTAAGAAATACACTTACCAGAAGCAGCTCGCTGCACCCGTTTCAACTTCTTCTTTTTGGCTGTAATCAATGCACAGGAAAACATTGCATCCACGGGTCACAGATAATTTTTAAACACCATCAGTTTTCTTCCAGGTATGTTGACCCTCGCACCCAACCCAGAATTAATGCGAAGAAGTGACAGGTCGTCTATCTCCCTCTCCCCTAATCATCAACAGTGTTCACAGCGGGCATCCTTTTGGGAGAATCACCGGTAGCTGAAACCATTTGTGGAGCACTGTTTTCGTCGCAGAAATACGAACAATACAACGTGCCAGAATCAGGCACAGTCTGATTCCTAGGCAGAAACAACATCCAGTTGTCATTCAGGCCAGCAAAAGCAGCAAAACAGATTGCTTACGTATGCATGCATGCATGCATGGAATTCTATATATACCACTCCCTTATGCCTGACATAGGGGGGAAAACAGCACACAGACATCGTCAGTGCACAGCCAAGAAACAAGAGTGCAAACGCCCTACCTTTTGCTGCTGCATTGTCAGCACCTGCTCCATCCGCTGTCTCATCTCCAGAAGCAGTCTTTCCTCCTGCAGTACCAGATTTCCCATCACCTGCAGCCGGAGGTTCGCTCTTGGGGCCACCTGCGCTCTTCTCCTGGCTTGCAGCATCACCCATAACGACATCACTTTTCTTTGCATCCGCTGCCCCCGAGGCTGCAACCACTGGCTTTCTCGTTAATGACGCTAGTGAAATACCATTTTCCAATGGTTCTTTCTTCACTGCAGGCGCAGCAGCAAGAGGCGATGCAGAACCGCCTTTTGCTGTCTCCCCTACTTCATCCTTGAGCATGCTCTCCGCTGCATCAGACACAGGCAGTAGTTCTATTCGTCCCTCTCCAGATCGAGATCCTGTGCCTGATGATGCCTTCCTTGTCATCCCTGCATCTGCAAGGAACACCAACATAATATCAACAGTGCATCAGCAATTAATCAAACACACAAGTGCAGAGCGGCTGAATCCATTGTTACACTGTAAAACTTCCAGCAATTGCTGCAGATCAAACTACTTTGTGCAGCAAAACATCCGCAACAGACCTGAAAACATAACATCAACAGTGCATCAGCAATTAATCAAAACGCACAAATGCAGAGCGGCTGAATCCGTTGTCACCCTGTATTAACTTCCAGCAATTGCGGCAGACCAAACTACTACTTGCAGCAAAATATCCAGCAATTGCGGCAGACCTGAAAATACCCAGCACACACGGACGTCGGGCCACAAACTGACTGTATGTTCACAACCGATCTGACATTGAAAAAAAAAAAAAAAAAAAAAAACAGAAAGCTTCTGCTGGTTGATACAAGATTGGCAAATAACCCCCAACAAGCCCTCAACCCGTTGCATACATCTGACCACATACATCACGAAAACTATTTACGAGAACCTCTTCCATTTGCTCACCATTATTCCGCCGCGTTGGCGTTGTTTCCTCAGCACTGCTCGTGATGTGCGACTCCACAAATCGATCAACCGCCTTCCTTAGCGACAAATTTGGGAGCAAATCATCATTCATGATGTTCGTCCTCGAGCACTGAGGGCATTTTCCCTTCGCCATCAACTCTTGACGAATGCCTGTCACGATTTGACCAGAAGAACCATACCATTCCCATAAGCATCATCAGTCCGTCCACGATAAACATCACCACTCCTTCAAGACCATACCATGAAGATGTGCAGGGGGGAAAGAATTGTCTGCATGAGAACTCCGTTTAAAAGCTCTACACGATAATTACCATAACATGTGTCTTTTGGAGATACCAAATCTTGGTTCTCTTCCGGTTCAGTAGGATTTATAGGATCTCGTAGTTCAACCAATTAGGCAATTAGGCAATTAGGCAATAGAAGTGACGTGTGCGGCTATTCATTTGGACTTAAGTCTGTTGAAGTGAGAATCACAGATTTAGGTTATGGAAAGACTTCGGCCTTACAATCGATGCCAAACAGCAAAAACACAATGCACATACATTTGAGAACCTTAGTCTCATATGTACCCCTTGATAGACAGCACGCACTCTCACACAGAGTACCGACTGAGAAAAGACACAAAACACTCACAATAGAACTGACTTCTTAAACAAGTGCTTAACAACACGCAAAAGGTCAGACCTTTGTAGCACAGAAGCTTGCAAGTGCATAAAGTACCCATTGTTGGCTATAAAACACATTCCTTGCCTGAGAATCCAACTCATTACACATTCCTTGCCTGAGAATCCAACTCATTAGTCCTCGTCTAGCATTGCAAGCTCCGAGCCGCCCATATGAGAAGCTGACAAAGTTAATAGGACCCGGAAAGATGGATGGACGGACGGGTTGGCAGATGTACAAGGCTAAGAGCAAACGTTTGTCAATGATTTGGACGGCTCGTGCGAGCGCCACGATCACAATGTCAGGAAACACAAGAGAAGACAACAAACGCACAGGAATCCCACAAGCTAACAAGACCCAGAAACGTAGGAAACGTGAGCAAAACGGAGGAAAGCAGATGCGCAAGAAGGCATCAAATTGCGAGGACAGACGAGGCAAGGCAACAAAACGCAAGGGCAGAGAGGCGACTGCCACTTCCACATTCCTATCCCCCTCAGAAAGACACCGTCAATTAGTGACACTTACATCTGTCACAGAAGCTGATCTGGCAGCACGGGATCATCACTGCATCCTTAAAGATCCCCTTGCAGATGGGGCAGCGCATATCTGGTGGCGGTTCAAGCGAGGCAGCCTTGGCAGACAACAAGGCGTCTGCCTCCTTTTCAAACACAGACCTATATCCAGAACATCAAAGAGAAACGACCACAACGACAACAGTCAATGCGAGGAACACTTTACTCACAGACAAAGGCTTGACTTCCAAGGGCAGATAAACACAACACCTCATCCTAAAAGGGATGATCAACCAACCACCATACATCCATTGACCAAACTCCACAACCCGGCTTTGGCCTCCACACACAGAGAATCATGTGAGAAAGCCATGAATCATGGCTTAGGCATCCTCACTAAGAGCAAACAATATCATGCAATTGAGAAACTTCATATTTCGTGCACTACGCACATAAAGGGCGTGTTTACTACACAGCTGACAAAATATTTCCGTATAGAATGCGGACCTCCACTCCATATTCCCGGCTCACCTGATGGAACCACAAAGTGCAATTCGCACCTTGTTTCCACCGTCCAGCCCTCTCTCTCTCTCTCTCTCTCTCTCTCTCTCACACACACACACACACGCACACACACACACACACCCACACACACCCACACACACAAAAAAACAGAAAGGACACGCATCATCCTGGTCACAGTGTTGTTGTCTACCGCACCAAGGTTGTTCTGAACTCGCTCATTAGGCTGCACGATAATTCGCACCTTGTTTCCACCATCCAGCCAATTGCCCTCTCTCTCTCTCTCTCTCTCTCTCTCTCTCTCACACACACACACAAAAGAAAGAAAGGGCAAGCATCATCGTGGTCAGAGTGTTGTTATCTGCTGCACAGAAGAAGGTTGTTCTGAACTCACTCATTAGGCTGCATGACCGCGACTTCTCCAGATGGAAGGAGGTAGGAACCGTCCTGGTTCGCCACCAGCATCGTCTTTGGTATTCCAACAGGAATTTTGACCCTTTTCATATCAAATGCAGGATCTCCATTGGTTGGACACAGCTGGATGAAATGTCCTGTATGCCCAGGACAGTGCCAAACACAGACAAACACTATGTGAGCGACAATGTCCATTTCAATGTCCATTTCACGACGACTTAACACACGCAACAAGCCACTCATTCCACTCCAGTTTTCTGCCGTGGCACCTATTCCATGAATAGGAAACAGCTTCCATTCAATCTCAAGATCCCCCACATGGTTAGCACATTTCCCTGCACTCGAGCCATCAGCCCCACTGCAACCATAATCACCCACAACAAACAGTGAGCCTCCCGTGGAGTTCCTTGCACAAGGTAACAAGAGCGTGAATCCCTCCCGCAGATTGCCCACTTGATGTTGCATTACACCTCAATTGGCATACGATTGCCAGGAAAGATGGCAGGAGAAGTGGTTACTGACACGCTAAACTCTCTTAAGCCACGACTCCCTCCGCCAGCCGGAAATAGCCCTCCATGTGAGTTCGGGCGGGTTTGGAGGAAGGGCTAGGGCTGTGACCGGAGGCCAAAAAGGCAGACCGCTACCGTCTTCCCCCAAACACAGCGCGCCCTCATTTTGGCTGTATCTGTACACATTCATTTTAAGGGTGCGTTATGTTCGGGGGAAGACGGTAGACGGTAGTCCCTAAATTTGAAAGCGGCAACTTTGGGGATTTTTCCCGGCCAGAAAAATTCACAGAAATTTCCGAAAACTTGAGCATTGGTAGATTAGGCCGTGATCTTTCCAGGAAATATATCAGGAAAAAAAATCATTTTGACCATGAAAAAATCGCCTCGCCTATTCATTGCATGTTCCAGTTTTGCCACTGTGCCGTTTGTAGGCCGACGGGAAAAGTATACAACTTGTGCGATTTTCCCCTCCAAGAATGCGTCAAAGACTCTGAAAAATGGAGGGTCCACAAAAATATTTTAAATTTAAAAAATTCGCTCAAACCACAAAATACATCATGGAAGCATTTCAACACATTTTCAATTTTTGTGTTTCTTCCGGTTCTCCACACTGTACTACCAGTAGCCCTAATGAACATGTGCTACCGGTCCCACCAATTTCATGATGTCGCACTAGCACCTTTGTCGGTTAGGAAAATAGCGGGCCTCTGACCTTTCAGAAGGCCGAATCGAAACGACGGCCGCCGATCAGATTGATCAACGTCGGGCTCGTCCTCCTGAAAGTTCGGGACCTGGCAAGAACTTGTCGAAACCCAACGCCAAAGGTACTAGTGGTTTGATTCCGCAGGACAACGAACGAAAAAGCATTCAGGAGGGATCTCTGTCACTGCCTGGAAGATGGTAATTGGTGCCACTGGAGGTCCGTGCATGAGACTTATTTCTCTCAGAAGTGATCTCTGTCGCTGCCCAGAGGAAAGTAGTTGGCGCCACTTTGCTTTGCATTTCCGTACACGAGAGTTGGAGATGGGGTGTAAATTGCCAAACTGATCTTCTTGTATTCATTGTGACGTTAGTTGAGAACATATTATGAGAGATGTTCAAGGAGGCTGGCTACTTGGATGTATGCACGCCAGGAAAAAAAAATAGCTGGAGATGTGGTCCCTGACACACTCGACTCTCTTAAGGATTCGCACGATAGGAAACAAAAAAGCTTTCAGGAGGGATCTCACAGACGCATCGACCAAAACAAACAGGTACCGCATTCAACAGAGATACATCAATTACCAGCGCAGCGCATACAAGTACGCATACGCAAATGCAAACACCAACACCGAGATAAACACATTACATACATGTGTCCATTACATCATCAATGCCACTGCACGTTCATGTAACGCAAGGCATGCATGCCCTACATTGTGACAGTAGCGAAACACAGGCAATTTGGGTGAACAAGCAGGATATGCATGCAGTCATCAGCCACGACCACGTGTTGGAAAAAAGGGGAGAAACAATTTTATGATGTCCCATACTAGTCCGCACCTGGCTGCCCACATCGGTGACAGACATAACCCGGAGGAGGATTGCCACGAGGAACAAACCCTCGGCCTGAATCATCAACCACATCAAACGGACGTCCAAAAAAAAAGCGCATTCATCAGAACCAACGCACATTTCCTTTCCAAATTCAATATGCATTTCCGTCACTGGGCGTCAAGCAGGAGCAAGGGAGACAGTCGACAGCCGGAGACAAGTGAACGAACAAACAAGGGCGCCGATAAAAAAAAAGACGCCAGCAAAATGAAACACCCAAGCTAGACGTGATGTAGGGGCAAATCAAGGAGGGCGAACCACTCAGCAGGTTCATATGCACGACGGCGCAAGATAAGACACGTCCCAAAATGTAAAGTCATTTCAAACATAAGGTAGAGAGAGAGAGAGAGACAGAGAGAGAGACAGAGAGAGAGATGTGAGAGCGCACGCGAACACACAAACAAGAAACACCATCAATTCCACCCAAGCGCGTGGGTCGAACAGGAACGACCAAACTAGCGCGTGGGTCGTACAGAAACAAACGCACTCATATGAGAACTTCAAGGCTGAAGAGGTTAGGATGCGGGGAGGGAGAGGAGGGAAGAAAACGAGAAAACGGAGGAGCGGGGAGAAGGGAGCTCGCTGCGTCGCTTTTGTTGCCCAGGTGAAGCAACGGAGATCTCACAAACAACATAGGTTTCCCTCCCTCCCTCAATTACTGCACACACCAGCGTCAACCTTTGTCAAGAAAACGAAGAAAGCCGCAGTGATGACGTTTCCTCCCCCTGCCATTCCCTTCTTTGTCATCACTCAATCCCTTAATCCCTATCCCATCCCGCAAAACGATCACCCAGTCAACATCCACCCAGTTAATTAATCTTTCAACTAAATAATCAGCAGCTCATAGCATACGTGTCGCTTATGACGATTAAACGCCACAAATGAGGGCAAAGAGGAGAAAAGAGTGATGGACTACAAACACCAGCTTATGTCGTTTCTACAATCTTCCCTTGAACACAAAGCACCATAACCGTGTCAAACCGGAGAGATCGATATCCACACGATTGACGATCCGAGAGCACGATATTGGGCGGAAGACGGAAGGCAACACGATGACGGTTCATAACGTCAAGAGATGTGATGGGGTGGACTACCCCCGCTTTTCACAGATGGACTACCCTTCCCCCATCCCCATCCCTATCCCGCCATCGTTAACTCCCTGTCTCTCCCTCCCTCCCCAAGGTTACCCTATTTCTCCCGCTCTACTTTCATTCATTTGCCCTCGGCAATTTCCCAGAAAGCCAAACGCCAACCACCATCCATCATGGCTGTGTCCCTAATGACCCCCAACCCTCAACCAGATTGACTCGTTTTTTCAAGCAAGAACCAGCACGATTCATTTCTCTCCCTCCTCACGCATGATGCAACGTCGTCGTCCTGATGACCATTAAAAATCAAACGAAAAAAAGGAACCAGAAAAAATACTGCGACTTACCGCCGAAGCCCCCCCGCCCGAATCCGCCCCCAAAATTTCCGCGGCCGCCATATCCACCCCGATTAAACCCCCGTCCACCTCCATGAAATCCTTCATACGTTTGCCTGCAACACATTGAGATATGCAACACATTGAGATAAAGAGGAGAGAGAGAAAACCAACAAACCAACCCCCGAAAGAGAGCACAACAGACCTCAAATACGTAGCAACGACGAATCGACGATGGATGTGATTGGAAATTAGACAGCAAACGACAAAGAACAGTTGTTGGAGGACGAAGAATAAATAATGGCCAACCACTAGCACCTGTCGACTACCGTCTTCCCCCAAACACAACGCACCCTCATTTTGGCTGTACCTGGCCGGAAGCGTAACTCGTATACATTCATTTTTAGGGTGCGTTATATTCGGGGGAAGACGGTAGGTACGTACTCTGTCCGATATATATCTATATATGATATTCATATATATATGCAAACTTACATCAAGACGAAAGAAAAAACTTTACCACTCAATTCATTCCGACTCTCAACTCCGAACGTTACAAGATTTTAAAAAACAAAAATTTCGACAAAATTTAGGACCGAAGCTTCCCTCACGTAAGCTTCCCGCACTTTTTTTTTTTCCCGTGGTGTATCTGACGAAGAGCGGTAACGGCGAGCGAGCGATGAAACGGCGGCCGCCATACAGCTAATTAATTATCTTCTCATCCTAGCCCTTCCCGCCTCGCACGTGCCGTTGAATCTGTTGATTAGTGGATATTTCGACTCGATTTCTGTTGCTTAGTGAAGTGAAGAGAGGATGAAGAATAAGAAAAGGATAAAAAAAGAGGATAAGAAAAGGATAAGAAAAGGATAAGAAAAGAATAAGAAAATGAGGAGAGTAAAACAGCAAGAGAGAGAGAGAGAGAGAGAGGTCGATAGTCGGAAAAAGAAAAACAAAGTCAGGACATAAGAGTGCTGTGGGGCAAGCCGCGCTCAAATAATACACACATACATCATGGTGCTCCCAGTTGCAAGCGCAGACGATGCGCATCGACGCCGAGTTCGGGAAGACTGAAGGGAGCATTCGTCCTACGATGCCGTCGTCGTACACTCTTGGTCCCCTAGACAGATGACCATCCCTGGTCCCTTCCTCCGCTGTCTTCCTCGCTCAGCGGAGGCTGCATTGGCTTGCATTTTCTGCGCTTGCGTCCCCTTTTCACCCTACCGCGTTGCCTCAGCCTTCGCGTCCACCGCGGCACGACCCGCCGATGCTTCTTCTTTCCCCTGTCATCCCCTTTACTAGAGGAACAATTCCCCAGCTCTTCCCGTGTCGGCGCCACCCCGCTTTCGATTCTCTTTCCCAAGAATTCGCAAAGACCGATTTGACTCCTCACCCACTTCCTCCGACCACCCCCCCCCCGGCCCAGCCACCAACCCCGCCTCAACATCTTGAATGCCCGGCCTGCCCTCTTCCCTTGTGTTCGCTTGCCCGCCCCGCTAGCTTCTTCACACCCCGTTTTCCGTATCCAGACACCCCTCAAAATACAAATCGTCGTATCCAGACACCCCTCACTATACAAATCGTCGAATACTCTGCAATGTAAGCGAAACCTTCACGCGTGTGTTAAGGTAGTTACACAGACGTAGATAGATGTGGAGCTTAGGCAGGCGTAGCCTGCTTCCCCTACCACCGGCTCCATCGAAGCGCAATCATTCCGCCTCCCTCATCGAGTACCCCCTTCCCTTGATGGCCGATCTCGTCGCACTCCATGGGTAGGGAGGAGGTCTACCACAAACGCGACGAACAAACAGCGCGCGCGCCCGTAATGCGCGCCGCGTCCAGCGCCTACTGCCGCTGACTGCGGTTTCCGCTCCCCGCAAACATCAACCGACCAAGCGAGCGAACGTCAAATAATATTCACAAGTGTTTAAGGCAAGCCCCTTGCTCTCACAAGAGGGAATCACCACACGAGGCAAAACGGATGCAGCTACAACCATGTTGCACCCTAGAACACGAGAGCGAACGTCAAATAAGTAAGATAGACGTTTCATCGCTCGCCGCGCTGCACTAACGACTGTCCGAGTGTGTGCGAGTACGCACGGACCCCCCGTAGCGAAACCTTTTCCACTCGCGGCCACCCCGCTCATATTTCCCGCCCCGCCCCACCTTTTTTTTTCGTCGCTAACCTTCCGCCGCTGTTCTTTTCCTTATCCCACGCATCGCCACTCGAACAGCCACCCCCACCCCTTTCGCTCCCCCCGCCGAACCTCCGCAAGCAACCCCAGCGAGGCCGGGCTGAAGGGCACTTTTTTTTTAGGCATTGTCATCGGCCTTCAAAAAGTGCGCGACGTTGAGCGAAAAATCAGGGGCCGCGATGTGATGAAATAAACATGTTTAAAAAAAAAAAAAAAAAAACATGTCCCGACGGGGCAGACGCATGACTGTTTAGCTGCGGACGTGCGTTCGAATCCAGCGCCGAATGAAACTGAACTTTCTGAATTCTTGAAAGGCAAAAAGCAAAAGAGAAAGTATATATCTCCAGAAAATTGTTAAAATCCGCCCCTGGGTTCGATATATATATATATCTTCATCTATCTGCCCCATCAGCTCCGGCGAGAACATCCGAATAAACGGACTCAGAGGTCTCTCGGCTCCAGTATTGACTTGAATGTATCATCTACTACTACCTCTTGCACAAGGCCCTTTGTATAGGAAAATTGCTTTTGCAAAAAAAAAAAAAAAAAGGAAAAAAAAAAAAATTGACCCTCCCCTCCCCTCCCCTCCCCTGCCCTCCCCTCCCCCGCCCCCCCTCAGACAACTCTGAGGCCTATCCCACCACCTTCGTACCCGCTCTCCCTGTGCTGTGCCCTCCGTCCGACAAAGCAGGCCAATCGAAAAGCTGCGCAAACCATACCCACTTCGAAGCGTGGAACTGCCAATCTTGCACGTACCTGCGAATTGCAGTTATACCCCGCTCCAGGTCTGTGCAAATAGTTCACATGCCCGGTGGAAATGCCCTGTGGAAATTGTTCGCATGCCCGGTTCGCGGTTGGTACCTGCGAATTGCAGTTATACCCCGCTCCAGTTCTGTGCACATTATGGATACATCCGGGGCAAATTTCGAGCATATCCCGATCAGAGTGGACCCATCCTTCTTCGCCCGCCCGCCCCCCCCCCCGCCCCGCCAGCCCCGCCCGCCCGCCCCCGACAACTATTGCTCTGGCAATTGAGTCGAGTTCCCCCTCTCAGGTACCCATCGTTCCCCCGATATACATACACACACTTCAGAAACTAAAAGCGTATTAGACGCTCGTTAACTGGTTGACATGCACGATATGCCAAGACTCAGACGATGTATTGATTGGTTGATAGCAGGCAGGGACGGATTGAAAACGACCGACGAGCAATCGTCAGCGTGCGCTTGCAGTCTGTCTCTTTCTTTCTTTTTCATGTTACCATCATCGGACTGCGCGGCGCTATCAGTGATTCCGCAGTCATCTGTTTGCAGGATCCGAACACGGATCTCCATCCATCTCAACAATCTAGCTGTGGGCGTTGCATTAATCAGCCGCATGGCCTCGGTGTAGCCCCGTCATTACTCAGCCAGTCGATGAGCGCAGGAAAACAGGCAATCAATCGCCACTCCAAAATCAGCGAGATACCTCCCTCTCCCTCTCTCTCTCCCTCTCCCTCTCCATCACAATGCTCTTGCGAAGCGGTCCAAAACATCCCGGACGGATAGGAACGCAATTGGACTACAAGCTCAATGTTGTGACAATGCCGAACATGCCCGTTCGGTCCAGAGAGGCAAGGGAGGACATAGTCAAGTACAAGGACCCACACATTTTAAACCCCAAAGCGATTGAATGGGACAACAGAATTAACGAAGACAGGAGCGAATGGCCGCGGTGGTTGGCAGAACTGAAACTGTCCAACACATACGGGAAAGAAGGTCACACAGAGAGAGATCCCCTCATTCTCTTCTCTCGACCGGACCTACCAGGGCCATGGAACAAAGACGTTCAGTTTAAGCGCACCCATTTTGAACAAAGACTTTCCAAAAGCCTGGAAAACGCCAAACGCAACAGCGAGAGGTGGGCAAGGAAGATGGACGGGTACGTGAATCCAACGAAGCGCCAAGCGATATTCATAGGTAAGCTGAGGGAGGTTCGCAAGGCGCACGTCTCAGGAATGCTACCGGTAGTGCAACAATTGCCTCATCATAATCTGGGTACCTCACCGCCGTCATTGCCATTATTGTCATCAGCGACTGAAAACGACTTACAGGCTGTCGTCCCCAAGCAGCGGAGATCATCGAAGAAGGCTCTTCGCCGTTGCATCCCCCGGCAAGATGTTATAGACGTCCAGCTCTTGAACCTCTGGCATCCCAGCAACAGGCCAGCAGGATGGAGCCTCCACAGTGAAGACAGGAGGTGTGGGAAATCTGGGAAGAGCAATCGACTCCTAAACGGAGGAGGTGTGGGAAATCTGGGAAGAGCAATCGACTCCTAAACGGAGGAGGTGTGGGAAATCTGGGAAGAGCAATCGACTCCTAAGCGGAGCAGGTGTGGGAAATCTGGGAAGAGCAATCGACTCCTAAACGGAGGAGGTGTGGGAAATCTGGGAAGAGCAAACGGTTTTCTATCCGACAAAGCAAACGGGAAATCCAGGTCCAGACCTTGGCCTACACCCAGACCGAACAACGAGGAATATGAGACAGCAGCATCCAGGGGAACTCCCAGACAGCGAATGTATCGACAATCGTCGTACAATACAACCTTCTTCTATCTACACTCGTCAAACGAAAGACGAGTCCATGTCCATCTCCCAGGGCGTACTTTTCGTACAGACTGAATCTGATCGTGATTGCGGTCCGGTTCCTCCGGAAGCGTCCACGTAAGTATGCCCTTAATGTCAATTAAGTGCGGTCGGGAGAAAGACTATTACGCTTGAACGCAGCAGAACAACCCGGACTCATTTGGTGTTCCCTTACGACAGGAAATTATGTCAATCTTCCCCACATCTTAGGGCCTCGCTGCACTACTCTCGACATGCACAAAAGACAAAAATATTTGGCGTGCATCTTTCCATATTCTAGCGGAAGAGTCCCTCTCGTTTTTCGAGAGTAGGGCAGCGAGGCCCTTACTCTTTTTGGTCAATCAATTAGTATTACACATGGCGACAGAAATTCCCTGCTCGTCCGGTACAGAGGGAGAAATAGAACCTTCGTTTCTTTTTCAGTATCACACATCGCGAAGGATATTCCCTGCCATACACAGGGAGAAATAAAACGACAACGTTCGTTTCTTTGGCAATTAACTCCGATTGCACGCATTTTCTGCAAAACAATCTAGCAGAGGATACTACTAGAGGGATTCCGAGATGAAGAGACGCACAGAGAGAGGCAGAGAGAGAGAGAGAGAGGGAGAAAGAGATGGAGAGAGAGAGAGAATAGAGCCAAAGCGAGACTGAGAGGGGGAGAGAGAGAAAGAGGGCACAAACTGCTAACGAGCCAAGCAACGATCATAAGCATCACCCCCTTTCTCAGCTGCACACTCAGAATTGGCACGGAGCATCCCGAGCTTCAAGCCAGATCAACAACCATACCCATCACTCCCCATTATCGACTGTGCGGCGCCGATGCTGATCTGCATCGTCATTATCAAGGCTTTTTCATGGTCGATTCGATTTGGTTGGAGCCACCTGCCGTCTTCCCCCGAACACAACGCACCCTCATTCTAACTATCTGGCCGGAAACATACCTTGTATACTTTCCTTTTCAGGGTGCGTTATGTTCGGGGGAAGACGGTAGTACTTAAGGGGGGGGCGACCACTGTCACCTTAATCACCACAACCTCCCTTCGCAAGAACCTTGTCTTCCCCAGAGCGACGACTTGTGTGTGATCGTATTACTCCTCATTTGGCCAGCAGTTAAACTTTGCCATTCCTGGCCGCAATTACCGCATTTTTTTAACCGAAACCGTACACTACTGGCCTGAACACGGTAAAAGCCCTGACGATTTTCCGGTTTAAAAATTCGCCGAAATTGCGGCCAGGTACGTCGTAGTTGTTCAAAAATCGCCGAAATTGCGGCCAGGAACGTCATAGTTAAATAGTTAAAGGGAGGGGTATTATATGACGACGCTTTCAAAGACAATCTCCCCGTCAATATCGTCCATCCGATGCAGCGAAAGGGGAAGAGAGGGACAGGAGAGGCGGAAATCTTACGAGGGAAGAGAAGGATCGAAAAGACAGAGTGTAACGATGGGGGGAGGCGGGAGATCTCATTTGCGGAAAGCGAGAGAGAAGCGACCATTTTATAGGACAGGGAGAAGAGCAGAAGTAGAGCAATTCGCAAAAAGCACATAACCCAAGCAATGCAAAAAGAACGAGCGGACTAAACAACAAACTTTCCCCCAACTGTGAATGACGAGCGCAAGAGGAAGACGGGAGTGTCAAAGCAGAGTAGAGAATGAGAAGGGAAGGACGGGGAGAGAAGGGGAAAAGTCGGGGGCGCAGGGTAAGAAGCGGAAAGGACCTAACCTCTGCCACTCGGAGGCTGTAGAATTCACCATCGCCTGGATACGGCTATACTCCTCTGCGTCCGCCCTTGGTGGTGGTGGAATATGGAGATCGGGTGTTTCGTAGAAGTCGCTGCCAAAATCATCTGGCCCATCCGGCACATCATGCTGCAACCGCAAGAACGCGTTAATTCAAAAAACAAGAAAACAAAAACGACTCCCGGTCCTCGTCTCTCTCCCCACAATCTACTACACATTCTCTCTCTCTCTCTCTCTCTCTCTCTCTGTGCGTGTGTGTGTGACCTGTGCGTTTCTCTCTCTCTCTCTCTCTCTCTCTCTCTCTCTCTCTCTCTCTCTGTGTGTGTGTCTCTCTCTCTCTCTCTCTCTCTCTCTCTCTCTC